AAAAAAAAAAAAACCTGTCAGCAGAATTTTGTCTGACATCATGCCTCTAATTAATGCCTATGCTGTGTTTTTATCAGAAAATTATGAAATTATGTAAAATAGCTGTTGCATTGCTGCAAATCAAATAACTTCTAACACCAACAAGAATAGCAATAAACAGTGAGAGAAATAAAGATTATTTATTAATTGCAAGAAGACTGCAAGGTCATTACCTTTTGAAATAATTGCGCGGTTCAAAAATATTTTGATAAGAAAATTCAAATTCTATTAATCCATTAGTTTGCTTAATGCACATCTATTTTGACATATTATATTTTTCTCTCGTCCATTGGTATAATTTCTGTGTCAATCAATACAATTTTAAAAAAGTGAATCCTGCATTTATATGAGGGATGAAGGATTTATATGTCACTCCCGAAACTTTTTTTCCAGCTCGCCCATCAGCCTTTGCTGGCACGTCCACCTCTCATGCTACAACTGCACATGATGGTAATGCAGCCTTTATGCTTTGACCATGTGTAATCCAGTAATCACCACGTCACATATTTACTCTAGATCAACCACATGTGACATGAAAATTCTCTCACCTTTCCAAATACTCCAACTTGCCCATCAGCCTTTGCATAGAGCGCAAACACTGGAGATGTGGCCAAATCTGTTTAGCCAATATCCTAGTTTCAGCTGATGGAGCTCTTGCTAAACGTGAGAAAATTGACTTGTTGTTTGAGAGATTACACAATCGATGTCTGCAAGCTAGTCATCACCAGATAATTTGCTGAATGAGATAACACTTTTGAGGCAAATACAAAGAAAAACATTGGTAGTAGTAGGGCTCTGTTGTGTGCCTGCCTGCACGTATTTTTGAAGTGGCAGATGAAAAAGAAAAACCTGAGCACTAGTAATAATAACAATAATAATAATAAATTAATAAAGGAGTAAAACATTTGTTAATAAAGGAGTGCTAAATTCCATGCAATAGCTTATAAAGAAGAGTTTGAAATTAATTTAAAAAAATCTTACACTCAATTGGATTTATTATATTACTGAGTCAGTGAGTTCTGATAGAACCGAATTAGACTTATTTGTAAATGAAACATTCAGAATGGTTTTGTGAACTGGATGTTTTGCAAAGATTTCAACATATTGTGAAACTTTGAAGTGTCTTACTTTTTAAGATGTTTTACAGATAAATGACTGATGGTATCATGGCCAGCACCAAAATGTTCTCGATTGTACTATTATGATGTTAATTTTGAAGCGATAAATCAATAGGGGGAAAAAACTAATCACTGGAATTATGACATAGCAGGTTTGGAATTTTACTATACAAGCAATAAAAGAAATCTTCCCAAATAGCTGCAGTTTCATTCCTCCTTCCTTGTTCCTTGCAGGGCGTACTTAATTTAAGGAGGAAAATGCTCAAAATGAAATGCAAATCAATTACTAATTATCCATGGAACAGCTTGCCCTCTTCCTTGTTCCTTGGAGGGCAAACTTAACTTAAATATACACTTCAATGAATTTGCATTATAAGATGATTGAACTTTTTAAATGTCATGCTTTAAATGCCATGTATGTTTTCATTGGTAACACATTTCTTGAATTACATGTATTTT